GTTAACGCAGACCTGCTAAACTATTTAACGTTGATAACGTTAGATTAATGTTACCTAACCTGCAAGCTAGCTAGCTATCAGGCATTTAAATTAGCAGAGTAACATCAAGTTAAATTGTGTGTCGCAGATTGTTAACGTGACTCACACCTTGCATTTTATATAAACGTGAGGATCGATGAGGAGGACACTGACAGGGTGACTGACAGTGTTTTACATCACAACATAAATATTGTACCTGAGAAATAAAAACACATGATACAATATACAAAATAAATTATGTGAATTTTTAATAAATAGTTATCATACAGTGGTTTCAAGCAGCTGCACTGAAACTTTGACTTTCACTGTATATTATAATGTATCCTAGTGTAAGTGATATTTTAGAGACACATGGTCAAAGCTCCAAAACTTGAGGTGAAAGTATGTAAACCTGCTCCCTGCAAGTCAAGAAGCAGGGTTCAGCCTCCTCTGAGCTGACACTTACCACCGTGCACACACAAACAGCTGACTGCTGCTGAGTGTAAACATGTCCTTTCATTAGAGTTCCTCTCCAGAATATATGGTCGTATTGTTTTCTTCATAGTTGATTCATATATTGAAGAACTTGGTGATACTTGGTGAGTGGGGAAATGACCGTGTGCAAAGTGAAGTGGTGTGGAAGCATGTGAACTCAGGCAGGTCTGGATACAAAGAGGGGTCCACACCTAGTTTTTTCCTGGTGACCCCCTAATTGGTTAATATGTCCCTGCATATGAACATGCCCCCACCTTTAGCTCATCATGCTTTGTGCAGTTTACAGCACAGAAATGACCTTGACTCGTGCACCACTGAAGAAGAAACAGGATTAGCAGAATGAACTATCCTAAGCTCTTTAATTGTATTCATTGAACACCAGCAGCTCTGCTTTTACCCACTTCATCACGAGTGCTCCATTTTACAGAATTAGCCTATTATTTAAAAAGCCAGGGAATCACTTATCAGTTCTGCTCAAAGTGCTATTCAAATTTACTGACTCCAAACGCAGCAGGAGTCATAACAGCGCCTCGTGTTCCTCCGTGTTTCATGTCCATGGAAACCGGTTTAACAGGTTGTGTGTGTAGAGCTGTCGGTAAATGACAGCACATAGTGTTGACAGAAATGAGCTGGAGCTCAGGGATGTGGGACGATATGTACCTCTATTCTCCAGCAGCACGGATAATCCCAGAGAGATGGCAAAACAGATGGGAGGAGACACAGAGAGATACACATCAACCCACCCGAGAAAGAGAGTCGGTCAGATAGAGAGCTGAGGCGGGAAACAGAAGTGATAGACATCAGACTGCAGCAGGAGGGAGAGAGAAGCAGAGATGAGAGGAATGAAAGAGGCAAATAATGAGAAGCAAGAGAGAGGGATCGGTGTCAGCCCATCACTGTGCAGATACATTATTAAAGATACACCAAGCACACACACACACATACACACACACACACACACACACACACACACACAGGGACAAAATGGAAGGCATGGCCGCTCTCAGGAAGAGACAGTAATGAAGAAACGTGTAAATGTGGGAGTGTGTGGGGGAGAGGCAGAGCATGATTCATTATGGCTCAATACCATCTCTGAAATGTGCTTTGCTACATTAAAAGACTGTATTGACTCATGAGGAAGACCATGATGAAGGAGCAGGATGGATGAATTTAAAACAAGCAGAGGTTTGTGCCATTGCATATGCATGAATGGAAACATATTACAGAATCATAATAACTTACATATTTTACAAACACATTAACAGCACATGTCACAATACTGGTAAATATATTAGGCAAGGCAAGTTTATTTATAGAGCACCATTCAGACACAAGGCAATTCAAAGTGCTTCACAGAGACATGGAAATACATTAACAATAGAACATTACAACAACATCAAAATAACACTTAAAAACAATAAAAAAAACAAATTTCAATAAATAATTACGCAAATATTTAAATACATCAGATCAGGTAGGAAATTTAGGACGCCATTTTAAAAGGGGTGCTGTAATGATTGAAGACATTCAAACGCACAAGATTAACGATTAAGATTATAAAACTAGAAACTAAAGCTAAACTAAAAATGTGTTAATGTATATAATATATAATATAATAACTAAGCTATTAGTACTAATACTAACGTAACTAATACTAATACAAAAAATACTGATACCAGTAGTACTATTACTAATAGACAGAGACAGTTCACTTACACTGGACAACTGAGCAAACTCCATCCTGTGACAGAGATCGTGATGCATTTACAAACTCAGAGTTTAAAAAACCAATTAACACCACAATTGAGTGAGGCAACATACACTGAGCGATGCTACGCTCAGCCACAACATTAACCACAGTCCTGTATTAATAATATAATAAGCTTTATTTGTATATCACTTTTCTTAACAAAGTTACAAAGTGCTTCACAAAAGCATAAAACAACAATGAAACAATAAAATGAAATTCACACAGATGAAAGTTTCTTTTAAAAAAAAGCAAAACAAAACAGGAATATCGTGGTCCAAGTCTGTCTGTCTGTACAGATCTGCCCAGGTCTGTGAATGACAGTTTAGATGAAGCACCAGTGTTTCTGTGATAAACTGAAATCAGCTGAAGGTTTAGATGAGTCATGAACCAAACTGGGTTACCAGTGAAGGGGGCAACTGCCCAGGGTCCCAGACCTATTATCAGGGAATATCCACTGCTAAACCACAGTATAATTCCTGTATTTCCTGTATTTTGCCATTCCTGTATTTGTACCTTGAGGCCCTGTTGGTGTACGTGGACTTTGGGGCCCTTGGTCAAATCTGTTTTCACAGTTATACCTTTATTGTTTCAGTTGATATTATGTAAACAGATATGAATCTAACACAGTAATGACCCAGTAATGTCAGTTACGCAGCAGCTAATGTTAGCTAGCATTAGCCACCAGAATGAGTGACACAGTAGATGAGGTGTAGATGTAGATAGAGTGTAGTGCAGTGTAGATGATGCCTGGTGCTTTTCATGACTTCTAATCATGTAAGAGGAATGATGAAGTTATAGTGATGGGCAACAGATAGATGGAGGGGGTGAGGAGTGTGAGGTGGGGTGTGGTTACCACCTGTCCCGGTTTTCCCAGGATTGCTCTCTTTTTTGAGTGACTGTCCTGAAAAATGAATATTCTTTCCCAGGATATGAATTGTCTCAGTTTTTGTGAAAATGCAGTTCTAATTTATAATTTCATATAGTTTGAAATAAAATCCCATTTCTTTCCATCTATTGCTGTTCTGTTTTCTTCCTGGTCAAATCCTGGGTCTGTAAACATATGAAAACAGATACAAAAGTGATGATGTGACGATGCCTATACTTTCATTTGAATGGTAGCAGAAATAAGGTAAAAAAGTTTACCTTATTACCTAGCAACATGTGCAGTTTGAATCCAACCCATGGCCCTTTGCTGCATATCATACCTCCCTGACTTTCCTCTCTCTCTCTCTCTCTCTCTCGCTACCGGAATTAAGCCAAAAAATAATTTAAAAAGAAAAAAGTGATGCACCTGCTGCAACACACTTGTTGTTCAATGCTTTTAACTTCAAAAGTTACCATTGGGCATTGAACAACACTCTTTAGTGTCCCCTGGAAGCACTTCCGTTGTATTGTGAGTATTTGCAGCTCATGTGTTGTTAAACTGGTAAACAAAATCAGGCAAACACCCACCCCCCACCCCCAAACACACACGCACACGCACACACACACACACACACGCACAAATAAAAAAATAAAATAAAATAAAAAGATAAATAACTTGTCCGAGGTTCCTGGTTTTTCCTGGAGGGGGGGGGGGGGGGGGTGTCAATGGGGGCCCACAGTTAATGTTTGCCCTGGGGCCCGTAGTGTGTTGACCCGGCCCTGCTTCCTGTGTGATTGAATTGACGTGGATGAATGAGTTTGATGGGACGAGCTGAGCCTCCATCACAGTGTTAATGAGGCTAAAATGCAGGCGCTACAGAGCTGTGGTCGCCGCAGTGGTAATTACACTGTGAACGTGAAAGAAGCAAAACCAGAAGTCCACAAGGTGAAGTCACTGACGGGCAATTAACGTTAGTCCAGGCGGAGTGGCGGGGGGGGGGGGGGGGGGGGGGGGGGGCTTGTTGTCGGATGAGCGGGAGGAGGAGAGATAAATGAGCGGGACGGTGTTAAGGGATTGCAAATTCAAAGTGGTTTGTGAAACGGAGAGAGTGAACATCCCTCCTCCTCCTCTTCCTCCTCCTCCTCTTCTTCCTCCTCCTCCTCTCTCGCGCTGCTGCAGTCAGCCTCAGACCTGCGAGCTCCTCTCTGCTCCTGACAGGGGTGAACCGCAATTCAGCAGCACTCCTTCATCCGGAGACCGAGCCCGCTCCTCCCGCTACACTCCGCTGAACACGCGGCTCCGACACAACACGCTGTGCGCGTTTAAACGAGCCTTTTCGACAGGGGGGGGAGCCGTAGGTGGGTAGATGAGGAAGGGCAGATAAACGACGAGAGGATCCGAGCTCATGAGCTCGGTGTGGATGTTTGTTCGTGTTTCATAGGCAGGGAAAGGCAGGCGGTGTTAGTATCTGAGAGAGAGAAATCGCGGAGCCTGTGCGAGTTTAGTTTCAGCACCTTGGACAGCGCGAGGATCTCAAGTCTGACTTAATCCTCAATCTTGATTTCACATCCAAGTTCAATTGAAGCAGCAACTCCAGCCACTTCCTCTGTGCTGCTTTAGGATTTAAATCTCTGGTGCTCCTCTGCAGACATGTTTGACATCCAGGTCATTTGTTAGTCTTGTTTGTTCTGCAACAAACAGCAGTCCAATTCAAAGTGTCCGCTTCAGGTTCACCGGTGATGTGAATGTTCTCCCATGTCTGAGGAGAAGCTCGTGGAAATTGATTGGTCCTGACCCGCGCACATTGCACCCCCGCAGGCTCACAGCTGAACACTACCGGAGGAATAAACTGACATCATCCAGCTCCGCTCAGCCTCCAGCGTCCACCAGCCATGGCTGGGCTCTGCCAGACGCTGCTCCGCAGGTCTGTCCTGCGCCACTCTCTGACCCTGACCCTCTCTGTCCTCCTCTCCTGCTGCTGCCCTGCTCTAGGCAAGAAGAAGCTCTACATCGGAGCCCTCTTCCCCATGAGTGGAGGCTGGCCCGGCGGACAAGCCTGCCTCCCCTCCGCTCAGATGGCGCTGGACCTGGTGAACAAAAGGACCGACATCCTGCCGGACTACGAACTGGAGCTGATCCACTACGACAGTATGGTGAGTAACTAACAAACGGAGACTCACTTCTCCCATCTTTCACCACTTCCCATATGCTGATCAGACTCAGGGCTGGTTTGATCTGTCACACCAGGAATTCAACTCTTCACCAACAACACAACACAACACAACAAGTAGACACAATTTCCCTGGAGACTGTGCAGCATTCATGCATTCATTAGCATCACGTTTCTGCTTTACAAAAAATGCATGTGAAGTGAAAGCATGGACTGCATGGGGACACAGTTACTGTTTTTATTCATAATTTTGGAAGGAAAACGGCTGCAGCATGAGTTTATTATCAGCTCATGAACACTGACTGAGTCTTAATTAATAGACCTAATTACAAAGTGTGAGACTCATATGTCTCAACATTATTACAAAACAGACTATAAAGAATCATCTATTCATGATTTATTAGCAGGTGATTAAACCACTAGTTACAAGGGGAATTTATTTTGGTTAAAGCACAGATTGCTCCTGATGGAGTTCACACAGCTCCACACGGTCATGACACTGCCCTCATCACATCCGGCCATCATCAGGATAGTTATCAGTCCTCTGTGTGTTGCGTCCTTCTGCAGCCCTGGGGAAATGTTTACCTGCTGCACAGTGGCGCAACAACTGCGTCTGTGTGTGTTTGCATACGAGCAGCAGCTAAACAGCCTGCACACGCTCAGACGGCACTAACGCCGGGAAGCGGCGTGGTGGAAGAAAACATGATGACACACAGAACAGGAGTCTGACATTGAGGTGGTGCGCTGCAAAGTAAAGGTGATCACGAGCAGGGAGTGAAGGGTTCATACACAGAAACATCTGCCGTGTGTTAGTCACAAACAAGCAGCACTGCTGTTGCATTTCACAAACCACTGCTGCTTTGCATTGCCAAATGCATTATGGGGGAAATGTTGATCACAACCTATTTTCCAGGAAGTGTGATTTCCCACTTAAATAACAGGACCATGACACGCAGCATTGTCGTCATGCGTCTCATGTATTGTTAGTTTTTGTTTAGTGTGTCCTGTGTGCTGTTTGTTGTCGACCAAAATCTTTCCTAATGTTGTTCCAGCTCGAACGCGCCGCCTTCACAAACACCACCAGTCAAAGGTTTTCCTCCCACACATTTCCAGTTCATGTCACCAGAAACTGAATCCTCCTGTAGATGTGAAACAGGTGAACAGAGACAGACTGGTTGTTCAGGGCTTCATCCTTCAGCCACATAGTGAGCCACAAGACCAGCACAGTCTCCAGACCCCATGGAGCTGGTCTGGGACGAACTGGACAGAAGCTGCTGGAGGAGTGGAATATTTAGATTCAGTATAGTCCAACGAGAAGATTCAAATCTCCAGTTGTTTATTTGTTGTGAATGTGAGGAGAAATGGAGGCGCTCTGAAACCTTTTGACTGGTACAGGAAGTGAAGATGAATCCAGATCCAGACCACATGGCCCTGAGTTATGTATGTAACTGTGGTTCAATGAAAACTGGACGGCTTCCAGAGACAGTGTGTAGGATCTGGCTCTCCAGGGTCTGCGGTGGTCATGAGGAGTGAAACTCTCCACACAGCAGAGAGCTGACTTGTTTTTCTATAACTTCTCCTCTTAAAGTGAAGCATGATGAGCATGATACAGACTGAGACCATAATCACTTTACACATGTTGTGACTGTTTGTTTAATGTCCTGTCTCAAAAGTGGATCTACAACAGAGTATTAGGGCCACATTGAGGAAAACAAAGAATATTAATAAGAATATTATGAGAATAAAGTTGTAATTTTGAGAATAATATCATAAAATTAAGAATGTAAAATGTCAAGAGAAACAAACGTTGGGAAAATGTTTAGGAATATTACATCAACCAATCAAACAGGTGAAAGGACAGTCAGTGGCAGTTTCTTCTGGTTGACTGTCTAACTATAGAATAGTATTTTTGTTTTTGAAATTTCTGATTTTTTTTCCTCAATGTGGCCCTAATACTCCATGGTAGCATTTTCATGCTTTAGTTGTCAGGAGTGGAGACTGTGGGAAAACAGTTAAACTACAGTCTGTAACTTCTCTCAGTCAAAACAACAAAAGATGGCGTTTGGTAAGTCGTGAAGAAGCATGGGATCATGGGAGCTGTTGTCGTCACCATGAATGCCATCAGCTTCAGGAGAGAAGTGCACGAGCGGGGCAGGAAAAAGTAGGTCTTAACTCTCATGCCAGTCTTACTTTGTGATGTAGCCAAGCCTGACTGACCGTGGTCATGGCTGCACGTCCACTTGAATAGATTCGAAGCGGTAATTGTTGCTAAGCAACACACTTCGCTCTAACTTCTACCTTCAAACAAGCTGGAAGAAGCTGTAAAATCAGATCACAGTCAGCACCACGTGTTTCTGTCCGCTGCTGTGTTTGAGCTGAGAGCTCCTTGACCAGCTCAAACAGGGCTCCTCTGAAACAGTCAGTCAGCTGATTGACTGTTTCTCCTCTTACCACCCTTTTGTTATTCATTCTTTAAACAAAAAGTGCTGCCATTGTTGTTTTCCCTCCTGTTTGTATGATCTATGATCCTTTATATATCCGTATATCTGTTATTGTTACCATGGAGACTAGTCTGACTTTCCAGTTTATACCTGCTCCATACTGGATGTAAAGGTGCAACACATAAAGGGCTGCAGTCTAAGTGGTTCACTAGTCATAACTTTAAGTTGGTCTTAACTTTCAGTTCAAGTCGGATGTAATGTTACACCCAGGCCCACGCCCAGCTGGTTCACTATGCCCCAGGAGCCAGTTGCACCAACTGGTCTTTACTAAATCTGGTCCTGGCGTAGTTGGTCTTTGTTAAGACCAGTCTTTAGAATAGACTTTAGCTTAAGTCTTCACTATGTCCAGTCTTTAGTCATGCTTGTTCATGTGACTGTCCACAGCTGTGTCCCAATTCAGGGGCTGCATCTTTCAGAGGCTGTGTTTTAAGACTGGTTGCGTCACAGCAGCGTGACTACACTGTCCCATTTCATAGGTTCCTTCAAATGCAGCTGAGAAATGTGTTCTTTTCCTGGGCAACAAAGGATCAAACAGGCCGTCTCATTTCCACTTGAGCTTTGTGGTCTACAGTGGCGACGAAGGACCACACCTTTGTAGACTGCGTCCTCCATGATGTGGCCCCTGAATTGAGACACAGTTCATGTGTCAATGGCTTTGCTTTGTAGCATGCATTTCTAGGATACATTGTTAAAAATCTCCCCTGTCTTGCTAATTTGTAGCATTTCTGATTCAGGGTTTTTCCTGCATAGAGGATTGGGAGGCGGCATCATTAGTTCTTCTAATATGAAAAAAAAAGTAAATTCATGTTACTGACTAGATACGGTTAATGTGTCAGGACTGATAGTAGGTGTAGTTCTCAGCCACAAGTGGAAGGTGCTGGTGGATGAGAGGATCACAGCGCGAGAGAGGAGTCAAGGCGAGAGTACCAAGTCTTTAGGAGTGTATTAATGAGTGTATTAAAGCCAACGTTTTTATTAATCTTCCCAGATGTTCTGGAAAACACAGAGTGATTGGCTTTGACCCGCAGTGGCTGGAGAGATAATAAAACTATAATTATTGCCCACCTCCCCAACCCCCGGTTGTACGGCTTAGTACCACCCCAGCCTAATTTTCAGCCAGGAAAAACCCTGTGATTTTGGGTAAATTTCTCACTAAGTGGTGAGTTTGTTTTTTTGTATAATTATTTATATTTATTCAGTTTCATTTTCTTTATATTTGTTACCATGAGGCAAAAAGGTCAATGGAATAAAGTCGTAGAACAGGTGTATGTCTTGGTTAGCTCCGCTAGTCTGTCCCCTTCAGCCCATGGTGCTGTCCATGGTGCTGACACAAACCACACATTTTTTCATCTTATATCTGCAGTCAGTTGTAGGCCTAAAAAGACAGATGCTTGTTGTAAAACATATAAATGAGGTGCGACATTGTCTTCACAAACTGTCTTGTCTAAAGTTGTTACTATAGAAACAGCTGAGATTGCCTGCTCCTGACGAGGTATCAGATTTACCCAGCCGAGCCCAGACAGTGCAACTGGTGTAACTGTTAGCGGGGACAGAGGGCAGAGATGTTAGTGGCAGGACCTCCCTTCACACACATTGAAGCCTTTACAGACGGTCCAGAATGCAGCAGCTCGTCTGGTCTTTGATCACATGTCACTCTGCTATTCATCAACCTGCAGTGGCTACCCATGGCGGTAACTTCTGGGTCTGCTCCGCCCACTTGAACTCATTTATTCAGCCTTTTTGCTTATACTCAGACACTGTGTTCCTCTAATGAATGTGGTCTGGTATCAACATCCCTGCACACAAGACAGTCTCAGTCCAGACTGTTCTGGTCTGTGGATCCCTGATGGTGGAACAAGCTACCAAAGTCTATCAGAGCAGGGTGTCCCTCTCTATCTTCAAGAGTCTGTTGAAGACTCAGCTCTTCTCCTCAGAACTCTAACACCCCAACATTTCTAACTAGCTCTTACTGTTAACTTTCCCTGATCTTCTTCACTTATTAAATAGATGTAGTACTTAGTTCTTACACCAAGGTCTCCTATTGCACTGGAGCTTGAGTGATGTCATTCATTGTTTGTCCCTTTGGATAAAAGCATCTGCCAAATGAGTGAATGTAAATGTTAGGTTGGACTCAGGTAGGACTGACTTAGCTTAAGAGCAACCAGACGTCCAATAAGTAAAATCCTTCATCTGGTTCAAATATAGAGTTGAAAACCACCAAGGTGTAAAAAGTGTATCTTAAAAATGTGACTTTAACTGGATAAAAGTCAACAAACACAACAGTGACACGTGATCACAGAGGATATGATGTCATTGACAGGAGACCAATGACAATACAACGTTACCATCATTAAAATCACAGATTTCTCTGGTTTGAGAAATTGATGGAAACATTTGGGAAAATGTAAGAACACAACTCAGCAACATATAGAACAGAGGTCTAGTTGTTTTTAGACATTTTTCTATGTAAAAGTTACGAATT